CTGGCAATGGGGAAATCAGAGAGAAATACTCCTTGTTTTCTAAGCACAGTCATCAAAGATTTGACAGCTTTAGGTTTTGGCTGCCCTGCATGGCACTGCAGATTTCTGGTTAGAAACCCTTGGTGCTTCCCTTCCATCAGGTGTTGCTGCTTTCACTGCTGCTGGCTGTTTCTTATGCAGCAATAATTTGCACCTCCAGAATGGAACTGGGGCAGGTGTAAAGAGAAGCTGGTCAGAAGGTGCAGCCTCCCCAGAGATATTTTTGATGACAGAAAGCAAAGGGAATTCTGTGCCTCAGCCTCCCAACACATAGGGTGAGGTGAGAGAGCATTTCTGACTACAAAGACAAGAAAAAAAGAGAAAGGTGTGGATGTTTAAGAGGAATAGAAATGTCAAGAAAGAAACTCATAAAATGGCTGTAAACAAAGTTAAGCTTGAAATAAGAAGATGGCCAGAATAATTGGGAATTTACTTGTTTTTATCCCTAATACTGATGAGGAACAGTGGTGGGATGTGAAGGGAGGGGCTTTAGAGTGTTTGGAATTTGGAGTTAAAGGAATTGAGACTTTTAGCTCATGTCATGATATGTAATGGACTTAGAAACCTGTCATATTTCCAGTGGCATTTTTTACCTTACTAACTGAAAATCTCAGTGGGGCTATTGAAGTAAGAGCTGAACTTAACCCCAAATGTCCATCTCATGCTTTGCTGTCATTGTGATGTGGCAAAAGCTCCTCACCTGGTTTGCTCTCAGGAAAACAGGCCTTGGTAAAGGAATACAGCACAAGATAGCAAGATTTTATGTCAGCTCCCTGCAAGCCTAATTCTGCCTTTCAAGAAAATCCAGGAGGCTGGCTTGGCTAACTTGCATCTTCAGAAGTGGAGGATGGAAAAGACTGTCTTAAAAAAGAAAGTCCCTTAAGTAGGACAATTTTAAAAATATCTATTTGAAGGGAAATTAGTGACTGACTTTAAGACAGGAGCATTTCCTTTTCCCATTTAAAAGTAATTTTAAAATTGATTTCCCCATTTAAACAATGCAGGCTGAACGTGGCTGTTGAGAATACTGGGATTTATCAAGCCTAAACAAGATCATTTTCTCTAGAACAGATCCTGTGTATATTAGGCAGGGTGAGCAGCTGAGGAAGAGCGAGCCCACAAACAAACCCTCACACAATGTAATTTAATATTAATACTGGAATAGAGGGGCTGAATGTTTTTTATCTTCATGTGCCCTGTGGGGAACATTCAGTGTGAAGTATGGGAGAGCATTTCTGTGGCTTCCATGAAAACCATTCCTGAAGGTAAATCCCTGCACCCCCCTGAGCAGTCATTCCTCAGGGATGTTCTGTGTTAGACACGAGTCTCAGATGCAAAAGGCAATAATCTTGGTTGCCTAAAGCTCCCTACATACCACTGATATCCAATCACTAAGGACTGAAAAAGCACTTATACAGTGGGGTGAGATGCATTTTCCCTGGACACAAGGTGAGAAGTTTATAAAATCCCTTTCCTGCTGTGAAATCTCATTGCTTGGATTTTATTGACTCTCCTAAAGAAAATGTAATAATTTTAAATTTACTTGGACTTTGGTTGGTACTGTAATTAAATCCATTTCAAACATGTGGGCTCAACTCATTTTTAACCAGCTTTCTTACTACATATTTGTAAGAAGATAATTAGCAATGCTCACTAGAAATGTGTTGCAAATAACTCAGCACAGTGAACAAAAGCTCATGATTTTGTCTATAAAGGTTTCATCCCCACAGTGTCAACAGCATGATTTTATTCACACCAGCACAGTGAATGTTGAACAAAATGGCAAATATTTGATTTACAGGCTTTCCAGTGTTTCTTTCCAAGCCATCTTGACCATGATGATAGGTAAGATGTGGCAGGGAGATTGTGCTTGTATTCTGTGTTGGTTGGATGTATTCAATTTGCTCATGTGGGGGGATTAGAATTCTGTGGTTTAGAATTGTTGGGAGATCACTTGGACCATCTTTCTCAGACTGAGTTTCTTAGAAACTTTGCCATGTCTCGCGACACAGACTGTGAAACGTTAACTTCCAGCTCTGCTGCAAGTATCTGTACATATCAGAAATATGCTCTGAAATACAAACCCCTCATATTCTGAAAGTGTTTGGTTCATGCCCCCTGTATTTTGTTTTTATATTTCCCATCTACACCCATGTAAAATCAATGTGACAGATGCTAGCACAGATCTGAGATTCATTAAAAAGCCATTAACTGTCCTAAAGGGATGTTTATGGATAGCAGCACTGTATATTTTGGGCTGTCAAAACAAATTGACCAAATGGCTTCTCTGTAACCATCCTGCAACTACAGCAGGCTGATGACAAAATTCCATGCCTGGCATCCCTCTAAATCCAATGCAAGAAAGGGGTTAGTGGAAGTGTCTGTGGGGATAATCAGATTGAGTCTCAAATGAAATTTGTGATTTAGAGATCAGAGCAAATATTAATATCCCAAGGCATTTTTCATAGATTAATTTACCAGTAACATTTTTTCTATAAATAGTGTTTTATATAAACAGTGTTATTGGACTCCCAGCTGGAGAGCTGGGAGTGGGCAGGCCTGAACAGGGAGCTCTCCCTCAGCCACAGACATGGGCACTGACTCTTCTGTTTCATCAGCCTTCCCCTTAAATCCCCTTTCCAATCGTTTTGTGTTTTAAAGCTCAGCTATAAAATCTACCTAAACCATTCTAGACTAACCACCTCTTGGCCAAATAAAGGTGTTGTGCTTTCTACTGGAACCATTTCTGGAGTGTGGTCTGGCAGGAATGGTGTGAGGAGCCCTGGGCTGCACACTCCTGTCTGCCTGCTGGGCTGCAGGTGGCCTTGCAGGCTCTGCCAGCACCAGGATAAAGAAAATTATCCTGGCAGCACCCACTGTTTTTAACTCACTGAACTCTCTCACTTCAAAGATTTTTAAAAGTTATTTACCAGTGCAGTTACTTTCCTTGCTGCTCTTAATTTCTGTTCTGCTGATGCCACAGCTGCATTATTAGCTTTTGGCCATGCTAGTTTAGCTTTAAATTACATCTTGCCCTCCAGGAATTAATAGGAGAAATTACATTCATTTAGGCAGTGCTGTGTTTCAGTAAGCCTACTCTTCAAAATATTATCATATGCAATGAGATTGATCCCAGGGATGGGATGTTTTAAATGCACAAGGTCAGGCATGTCTTATTTCTGCTTCCAGACCATGTCTGACTGTCAGCTTTCAAATAATCTCCATGCTCTACTAATTAAAAATAGACACTGCAGTGTTAAGGCATGCAGAAGAACATAAAGAGAGATGTACAGGAATTGTTCAGGCTTTACATTATGCAGTAATTCAGACAGTGCCTCTCACCCAGTGCTTTTCTGAACAGTTACAATGGTCTGGAGAATGCAATAATATCAAGTTTCAAATTCTCCATGTAGCTTTGTTTTCAGCCATCTGCTTTCCCTGAAGTTCCCCAAGTTGTATTGCTAAGATATAAAATTTAGTAAGATTTTGATGATTTGCCCAAGGAACTTTTTCTAGAATATTTAACTGCAGTATCAGTGAGACAACAGCCAAACCATTGACAATAACCTTTGGACCTGTGATGCAGGGCTGTAATTACGATGAGCAGTGTTTTCCTGTGTGTGCAGAGTGGATCCTGGGCCCTCAGTCCACTCAGCCCAGCAGGGAATCACTGCCCAGGAGAAGGCAGGGGCTGGACAGCTTTATGTGTCCCAAAATGATTCTGAGAACAGGTAGGACACAAGATAATTAACCCTTGCCAGGCTTGTTACAGAGAAATGTGAATAATCTGTGCTATCCTGTGTCTCTCATATCTCCTTCAAACACAACTCCACAGTGATGGAAAAATCTTCTCAGTGGATGTTTCAAGCTGGAAATGGAAGCATCCTTTGGTATAATCTTTGATCTGTCTGCTAAAGAAATATATTGTCAGTTTGTTGTCAGGAATCTGGCCAGCTGCCCACTCCGAGTCTTGCTTGGGTGTCAGCTGGCTGCCTTTTATTAGTAAAGACTCATGGGTGTGGGCCCAAAATCCAGCCTAAATTCCTAAGTGGATTTTTATGAAGTTCTACACATTTAGATGCCACGCTCAGAGTAACTTTTCACATGTGAGCATTCTGCTAAAATATTTACACAATCCCTGAAAGCCCATTTGTTATATAGGATGAGTTGGTAATACATAACAGGCTGCTTGTAGAACGTGCATAGAATAAATAAAGCAAAGGTCCTTGTCTGGTGTGCTCACAGTGCTGAGTTGCTCTGTATCACAGTCAGAAAAGGGCTGGCCTTATTGTGGTTTAACTCAAACCAGAGTCTGCTTAAAAGGAAGAAAAAAAAAGAAATAGAAAGTGGTGGCATGGCTGTTCAACAGCTAAGGCACAGCACTAGAGAAAGCTTGAAGTGATGTTCTGCTTAAAATGATTTCTGTTGGTTCATTGCTGGGAGTGACTGAATTCCTTCATTTCTGGACCTCAAGGTGCCCAAAGTGCAGCTCCTGTGGCTCATGAGGCTCTTCCTGTACCCTGTGAATGTGTGCATACGATTTAGGAGCTGCTGTGTAATTTCTGGAATTTGTTTTTCTGTTTTTCTGTTTCCTCTGATCTGAACACTCTCAAGGTCAGTAATAAATGTAATGTGGAAGTTCTTGGGAAAAGTATGTATTTTTGACTTTGAAACTTTGACTTGTAAATGTATTTCTTTCAAAGAAAGATGATTATAAGTAATTTTACTTGTGTGTTTCATTAGTATGTCATCACTATGATAAATTTTAATGTGAATGTCACTGAATGAGAATTCCTGTCCACATCTTTATTTAGTAAAAATGTATTCTGCTAAGGAAAACTTGAACTTACACTCAAGCTAAACAAGGTCTGTCTGTATTCAGAGTTTGTGCGAGCTGAAATTTTGTAGGGGACTTTGCCAGTGCAGGACTGTAACCCTGAGAATTTCAGGCAAGTGCTTACCATGGAGGTGGATCAGGATACATGATGTGCACCTGAGAAAGTATATCCAGATAGGAGTCAAAATCACAGGCAGGGGGGAACTCCTCGCTGCAGGTGGATCTCAGCTCTGCAGAGGAGCCGCCATGAGAGAAACCATCTGGAGCTGCAAAACAAGAATTAATATTGGCTGCTCTTCCCCTCTGTGCTGCATTCTCTGTCACTCTTTATGACACTGCTATACATCAGAAAACAAACCCTTTCTGGGGCACAGGAGTTGTGGGTATTTTGGGACAATCAGGTTTCACAGGATATTCTTATTTCTTTAGGAGTAAATGAACACCACCTGTAGATGAACTGTGATGATTCAGGCTGTGGCACAGGGACTGCACCTTTAGGGCTGCCCTACAAGGCAGATGGAAGTTCCAAAGCTTTTCTTGTGCCTCAAAGGCTGAAAAGGAGTGTGAGTTTTACCATGTGCAGCTTCAGATGTTTGTGGGGTAACTGAAATTCCCAGCAGTTGCATCCATGGAAAGTTTGTCTGTTCTGGGAGGGGAGTGAAAGGAGGGGCAGGTGTTTGATTGCTGAGAAAGTGCTGTTCTCAATAAACCCTGACAAAACTGGGAACATCTGGAAAAGAGCAAAGAAAAATCATCCTGCTGCTTGCTCCAGGGATTTCTTAATGCTTCCATGCTACAGCTTCCCAGCTCCATAAATATAAAGAGTTTAATGCTATTTTCTGTGTTAGAGGATAATTTGTGTGTGTGTGTGTCCATGTAACGTAGTGTGGCACAATTTAGTTTAGGATTATTCTTTTGAATATCTCCCAAAATATGCTTTTCTTTTCCATTTCTCTAGCACTGTTATTTCTAACAAGGAGTTTGAAAAGTTTCCTTTCTGGTTTTGCCTGGCTCTAAGCTTTTTCAAAGAGATGAAATTACCAGAGTAGTAGATTTAACACAGTGATTAAAGCTTCATGGTCAGTATTTTACCATGCCAAAATATTGGGTCAAACAGTAACTCCAGTTTGAGTTGAACTACTTAATCCTCAATGTAGTTGCTGAAAATGAGGAAAATTGATATTATTAATAGTAGACATTAGTTTTCTGGATTTTGTTTTTATTTTCCCTCTGTAGGTTGCCATGGGACTTTGCATTTCAATTCCTTTGGACTAAACTTTATTCTCAAAATATAGATGTTATTCACTTATCTGGATAAATATTTCTGCAAAAGCCAAAAAGAAATTATTCCTTGCTTTAAGGGGATAAACTGATCCTAGGAGATTTGTTTAGTTTAGACAGAAAAATTCCTGGTTCAAATAACTAAATGAAATTCAATGGACTTCAATGGATACTTAATTTACATCAGTGAAAACAAGATTTATGCCAATGCATTTTTATGTGGCTCACTATTACTGGCTTTTTTTATGTAAATAAAAACAAAACCCTCAATGATATGCACAGAACTGTGCCCATAACAAACTGCAGGTAGAGGAACCTGCTCACAGAGGATGTGGTTCTTGATGGTCCACCATTTATCATTTGAATTTTTGCTGTCTGAAGAATTACACAGTGACTTTTTAAACTGGTTTTTTGGGTTTTTTTTCCCTTAAACAGAAATAATCTTCTGTCATTTCCTTGACAAAGTGGCTTCTTGTCAGCAAAGCCCAAAAGGGCTGAAAACACTCCTCTAAAATTACCTCCTTGATATTCCCAAATTATCTTTAAGGCTTTTTCTCATGTGTTGGTTCTGTTTAATGGGTTTAATTTTGGTTAAGGGGGTAGGAATTGGCACCTTTTTGACTCTAACAATGACGACTATTGTAATGACACCCAAATCATCAGTGACATTGTTAATGGTGGTGACAGATAATGATATTTGGGTGCCCTGTTCTGTTTCCAGGCAGGTATTCACTTTTGCACTCAAACACCATTTGCCCAGTGATTGTTGTAGGCTCGACTGAAATGACAATGGCTCTGCCTTTCCAAGAAATAGAAATTACTGTGCTAAGGCTGTTGGGGGATGTGAAAATGCAACAGAGAATAAATCTTCTCCCATACCAAGGGAATAAACTGTTTAGGAGCTGCTGGCAGCGCTGGTTGGATTCTGTGAACCATTATCTATGGGCTGTGCAGTGGGAACGCAGTCCCAGCACACAGATGCCAGTCCCAGCACACAGATGATGCCATGACACAGTCCCAGCACACAGATGCCAGTCCCAGCACACAGATGATGCTATTACACACTCCCAGCACACAGATGATGCCTTTACACAGTCCCAGCACACAGATGATGCCTTTACACAGTCCCAGCACAGAGATGATGCCATGACACCGTAATTTATCCCATTATTTCACTGCATTTCCCAGCCCTGCACACCGTGCCGGCTGCTCCCCGCGTTCATTCCCTCACCGTCCGCAGCCTCCCTGGGCAGGTGCGGCTGGCCGAGCCGGCTGTCCTTGCGCAGGCTGCCCACCACGATGGTGGCACAGGACAGGGACAGCACCAGCCCGATGACCACCCCTGCCACCAGCAGTGGGGACACCAGCAGGCTGCTGTCACCGCCGTGCTCCGCGGGGCTGGGGAAGGCGCTGGACGGGCTGCTCTGGTTCGAGGCAAATGCTGTGCAGAGACAGAGAGAGAAAAGTGTCACAGGGGTTGCACAGAGCCTCGGACACTGCACCAGCTCCTGCTCTGGGGAAAAGCCAGCTCTTGGACCGATTCCTGGGGCTGCAGGAACTGACTGCAGGGGGAACACAGCTCCCCTGTTCATTGGGAATATCCTGCTGGAGCAGTGCTGTGTGATCCACAACTTTGATGGATTCTTCCTGCCGAGATGCTTTGTACCATGAACTGACTGATGCTGAAAGAACTGAAGTGCACAAGGAGGAAAGTGGAAATTCCAAAAGTGAGCTCCAAGAGGAACAGAGGAATTGCCTGTTGTTAGGGGTATAAGAAGGTTCCAACATTTTGCAAAGAAAGTTTTGGGCAAGAATGAGCCAAAGGAGCCTGCATTTGTGGCACAGAGTTTCCTTTGGTTTGTGAGGAGAGTCACCATCCCAAGAAACTGATTTGTAGTGCAGAGACTCATCCAGAGTGGGATTGTTTGTTTGCAACTGCTTTACTCTGGTAAAAAATAATAAAAAAATCGATAAATGTACTTTTGAGTTCAATAATAAATGTTCTTAAAGGAGACTAACTGCAGTGATTTATTGCCAAGTCAAACATCCTTTTGAGACAAGCCACAGAGACAGTATCAAAAGTTAAACAGTAATATTTCCTTAGAGAATCAGCTGATAGCATGATTATACATGGGAATTAATTGCCCAGAGATGTATTTATGGGGGATTGCATTGCCAATAAAGGGAAGGTAAATAGAAGACATTATGGGGAAAAGGATTCAGGATTTTAGCAGATAGAATACCCCTCTCACCCCAAATTAAAACAAAACCTCCCATTAGTTGCTCAGCATCAGTAAGCCAAAATTTTATTGATGCAAAAATATTGCTGGAGATGCCATATACCAAACTTGGCTGTTGAATCTGGCCTGGATATATTTTTATATCTGGCTGTGTGCCTCTTGAACAAATCCAGAATTTATTTCCTGCTGAAATCAGGGCTAATAAAATTTTCTCTTTTGAGCATTCTGTGGAGTGAGTTGATGTTTTAGGAAGTGCAGTGCTGTTTACAAGGATAAATGTTATCAGAGAGTTCTCAGCAATGTTTGCTCTTTTCCTTTGGGAGACACCACTCGATGATTTGCAGTCACAGTAAGTTTAGGAAGGAGGCAATGGCTCCAAGCCAGTGGATGTTCTCACTGGCTGATGCTTGAGATTGAGACAAGCAACCAGAAACATTCACACAAACCCAGGGGAATTAGCACTTAGTGGACTTCTGTACATTTTCTGGAAGCACTTGACTGTTGGCTGAGGATCTTTATAGGCATTTAGGACAGCCAGCCAAGAAATGTGCTGAGCTTTCACAAGTATCTCGTGCCAAAAACCAAGACTGAATTTTCTGAGAATTAAACTGATGCTGTAGCATTAAATCAAAGGTTATGGACAAGTGTCCTACTTAATACTCAGTGCAAAGAAGTTTTGGGTGTGGGATATGGGATTTGGGTTTGGGTATGGGATATGTTTGGGGGGCGTAGGGCCCTTGTGCTAGAACTCAAATTCCCAAAACTTTACAAAATTTTAATCACGTTTCTCATTTTTACAATTTTTAAGCTATCTCTGTTGGTAATGTGTCCAACACACCCTCACTCACTTTCCATGGCCTTGTTTCTTCAGATTTTTCCAAATTCTGCCTTTGAGAGATGCAAATATCACAGGAGTGGCAGTTTAAATCCTGGCTGCAGGGATTAACACCTGATCTGCAAGTAGTGGCAGGAAATTTATTGGTGATTTTGGCTGACTTGCAAAGGTTAAAGAAGAATCAACTTTGTTGTCAGAATAATGAGAACATGAACCTGGGGTGTGAGGTTGCCCCACAAACTGTCAGGGTTGTGGTCATCAATTTAATATCAAATAGCACTGAAATGGAATTGGTGATAAACTGCTGTCAGGTGGGGAGGAAGGAGGCTGTGGTGTTTTCAGCTCTTTAAAAAATTAGGACAAATTCAGAATGATCCTCTAAACAGGAAGGACCTGGCTAAGGTTATTTATCTTTTATTTTTTTCCCAGTTCTGGAAGCCAGCTGGAATATCCACACTGCCTATTTGGGAGATTCCTGTGGTGCCACCCAGTGTGAGCACTGATATTAGGACCTGTTTTGCTTTATAGAAGTTTAACAGCTTCAAGAGCCTTCATACAGAAAATACTCTCCTGCACTGGTGTTGAGGTGGTGTGGTTTTGTTCAAGACACCCCATTTTTCCACCAAATTCTCAGGGCTTCCTTGGCTGTCCCAAGTCTTGTCTGTTTTATCTATTGTTTCTCACCAGCATGAATATTTCTGGGGTTTTTTTATGCTTTTAATTGAACTGAACCCATTCCCTCATATAGACAAGTTATAGTGCAATATTGCTTTTATTAAAAGGAATGAATGAGTCCCCTTAGCCCAGCTCCTAACACAAAATGTACTTGATCAACTTCTCCTGTGGCACCATTTTTAGTTTGACATTGTGAGTCTGATCCTCCAGACTTTACTACTGTGACAACAGCAGAATGCTGCATTGATATAAATTCTTTGGGTTTGAATTTTGTGGGGGGGAAAAAAAGAGATGTTTATATTACTTCTGGCAAAAAAACCTCACATTATAAATTTTCTCCTCTTATTCAAAATCATCTTCTTTTGATAAACTGCATTTCTTCTTTAAAAAATGCTTTGATTTTTCCTTCAGAATAGAAGTATCTGCAAATATATGTGAAGCCCATAAATACAACAGCACTAACAGAATGCTAACACTTTTGTTTTGAGGTAAATTGTATCCTTTCCCATGAAACTGCAAATTATAAACAATACATACATAAATATGAATATTTTTTATCTAATCCTCTAGGTATGATTTACGTTGGATGTACACAGTATGGCTTTTATCACGATGGCAGCTGTTTAAGTAACAAGAATCTGCACAACTGGCACAGTTGGCAGAATACTGACTTCAGAGTGAACACCAGGGCAAGATTGCCTGGACTGTCCATTCAGTGTCAGACAATAAATTAACATTTTGAAGAATCCCTTAAATATCACAATATATTATTTTACTCAGTGCTCCTGCATCTCAACAAACCAGTTGGAAAGTAACTGAAGGAGGTATGGAACAGCCCAAGTTTTTGGGTGCATATTGTTCTTCCTCACTCCTTTTGAAGGGATGGTTGCCCCTTTCTAACTTGGCCATAAGTGATGGGGAAGTTTCAGCTGGGTCAGATCCTGGCAGGGTGAAATGTCCTGGGAGCTTGGCTCTCCCAACATTCAGCCCTTTCTTAGGAGTGGCTTCTCTCTTCCTCAGTGCCTTTCACCTGCTTGTACTCAGATGAGAGAGAAGGGAAGCACCTGCACATAAACGAGTCTCCTCTCCACACTGAGTGGAGTTTGGTGGTGCTGGGGTCTTGTTCTGTTTCCTTTTGTCCTGAAGGCACATCAGCTCTAGTGAGGCTGCAACGGCCTCTGGAACTGATGAGCTTTGAGATGATTTTAGAGCTGGATCCTGCTAAGATAACCAAAACTCTTTCCCTGGTTTCCAATGTATCATCTTAATAAAGATGATAATTCATGCTATGACTGGTGGAGATGATGAGACATGGAGTGGTTTTGTTTCTCAGGCTGAAAGGTCATGACCAGCTCCTGAAGGAGTGCTGATGTGTCCTGGAAAGATTTTGTGTCTAGAATTATCCACCTCTTCATCCCTACCAGCCTGGGATTCTCCTTCCTCAGGGCAGGGTGGGCTTGGTGCTGAATCCCTGAACTAGAGCTGAAGCACATGGACAGGAGTATTCCTTGCACCCTCTGGGTCAGTGAATCTGTTTGGGATGGTGATCCAGCACCTCCCAGGACCTTTAAATGCACTGCAGTAACACAGGGTGCAGGACAGGGAAGGAGTAGTGGGGTCAGTTTAGGATGGTGCAGCACACCCTTCGTAATCCTTCGGCCTTCAAAGAATTGCAGCAAAACATCTCAAGCACCAAACCCATTTAAAGCACATTTCTGATATCCTTACTTTCTCAGTCCCTTGGATTATGCAGTCTCTTTATCCAGGAAGGTAAGTGACAGATGTCAGGAAGGAGCTGGGAGTACCCAGATACACAAAATCAGTGCAATGATCCAAGACTTTGTTGATTCTGCCTTTATGAACAGTTCCTGCTTCAGGATGGTTTAATCTGGCCAAGAGTGACCAGTTGGACCTTGCTGCTGCCCTGGGAAATAAATCTCTGGAAATCAGCAGCAATTGCACTGCTTGTTTCTGTGGCACAGGAAAGGAGGAAGGGAGGTGCAGCACAAAAACAAGCAGGGAAAGGGTTTGGATCACAGGAGCATCCCTGCAGCCAGGGGCAGAGGGATGCACTCCAGCACTGAATACAAGGGCTCACAGGAGCTGAACCTTCAAATTGTCTCTGTTGGATTCAAAGCTATTCCATTGGATCCTGAGGAAGGCTGAAACTTCACTTAGGCTTGATAAATACCAGGGTGTCATCTGCTTATGGGACTAAAGGAAGCAGTGAGGGTGCTCAGAACAGGGCAGGTTTTTTGTTCTTTAGTATTTCTCTTATTCTCTTGTAGAGAAGTTGAGAAATGAGTGGATGACCAGAACAGTCTGGGAAATGCCCTCTCTATAAAGCAGTTTTACAACAGCCATGCAAATAGTATGGGAAGAGGAATTTGCAGTTTAGGAGGCCCAGGAGCATGTTTAGTTCTCTCAAACACAGTTCTCCTGTTCTTTAGGCTTTTCTGCTTTCCACACAAAAAACTAAAGTGCCTCTTAAGCTACAATGGACATTCAATAATTACTCTATAGGGAGTGCTCCAAGCCTTTACCTCTTCTCATCTTCTGGAATTGACACTTAGTAGTTATTTGACAAAATCAATGAATAAATACATTTTTTCCTGTCAGTTGCTGCACCAATGACATTTGACCAGTTCCCAAAACAGAAGATATTAATTATTATTTCTAAATTTGAGGTAA